AATTTACAGAGGGCAGCGACAAGTGTCCAAACCTTTTCCTAGGGAAACACTGCTGCCCTTGCAGCTTTAAGTCTTCCCCTCAGAATGGAAGTTTTTCAGAGCACTCTTAGAACAAACAGTACAGTCTCCTGGGGAGATAGCAGGAATAAAGTGTCTGGACCTTGTTGCATCTGTTAGCTCCAGGTTCAGTGGGGGACCCTGCTCAGGAAATGCAGAGATTGGGGGCTGGAGATCTGGGCCAGTGGGTAAGGTGTTAGCATGCAAGCTTGAGACCCTGAATTTGAATCCTCAGATCTGCCATAAAGCTGGCACAGTATGGTGTGACTAATCCTGTTTCTGAAGTGAAATTGGAATCAGAGACTGAGAATCCCCGGACACCCCCCCCAAAAAAAAATAAAAAAAAAAGAACCTGTCAAACAAGGTGAAAACAGGGACCAACAGCTGAGGTTGTCTTTAGACCTCCATGTGTGAGCGATGGCAGGTACAGATACACAAACACAAGTAAGGTGGAGATGGATGAAGGCTCCACATGGATGTACACATACAGAAATCTGTGTGTGAACATGCAGCCCTCTGCAGGAAAACCGGTTAGGCTTGAGCTTCAGATAAGCAACATCTTCCTGAACATTATGTGGGTTGTTGATATATTAACATACATATATTGGTCATATATGTATGGCTAACTAAATGTAGTCATAATTGGATATCCTGTGTTTTTCTTTGCTAAGTCTAGCAACCCTAGCCTACAGAGAACTAGGCAGGCTGTATCAAGACCCACTGAGTTGGAGTTTCTCATCTATTTTAATGTTTGCTGTAGTGAGTTGAGTAAAATAATCGTAAGAAGATAGTGAATGGGTTACCTATTTCTCACCTTCCTTTCTCCAGTAATAAATATCTCCTCTAAACAGTAGATAGATAGCACACTTTGAATTCTCCGTCATTTGTTGGCCAGAACTCATGAACTCACTTGCTGTCAGATGTGTTCAGTATGTGAATAACTGCTGTTAGAATCTGTCGTGTTGCTTTCTAAGCAGCAGGTACTTAAATTCTGCATCCTGTGATGTGATGTCTTTGAGGACTTAAGGTGTAACGTTTGCTGTCTAACAATCTCACTGTCCAGCCGACAAGTCGGATACGTACTTACAATAGAAAGCCCTGCATGGATGGCATTGATGTTAGGCAAACACCTTGTGTCAGGAGGACTTTGAATAGAAAATGTCCTTTTCAGGGATTAAAAAATGAAAAGCCTTTAGCAGAGGGAAAGGATTTGGACAGACGTGGAAGCTACAAAATGACAGGAGGACACGTCCTGGGAAGGTTTATGTTTGGGAACTAAGTCACACACGCACACAGCTTGTGTGCAGTAATGCAGGAAAGAAGCTAGTAGAGGTGGTGGGTGGTTTGTGTGTGTGTGTGTTTTTGTTTTGTTTTGTTTATTTCAAGACAGGGTTTCTCTGTGTAGCCTTGGCTGTCCTGGAACTTATTATGTAGACCAGGCTGGCCTCAAACTCAGACATCTGCTAGCCTCTGCTTCTCGTGCTGGGAACAAAGGCGTGCATCATCACCACCTGGCTTAAAACTTTTTTTTTTTTGTTTTTGTTTTTGTTTTTGAGACAGGGTTTCTCTGTGTAGTTCTGGCTGTCCTGGAACTTACTCTGTAGACCAGGCTGGCCGCGAACTCAGAAATCCGCCTGCCTCTGCCTCCCAGCATGGACTCTGAAGTGCGTGACAGTATTTGTGGGTAGGGATTGCAGGAGTCTGGACGCTGCATGGCTTTGATATACAATCACAAGTAGCCATATGTAGATTCTACCAGCCATAAGGGGAAGGACTCTTTTGGCAGTTTCACAAGTTCCCGAGGAATGCTGGCTGCTATCTGACCACCAGAAATCCTCCTGTAGTTCAGCTTGAGTGCATTCCTGGGCATATGGACTTCCTGAGACTTAACAGAAGTCATCTGGGCTACATAGTTAGTTCAAAACCAGCGTGTGGCGCAACCTAGAGAAGCCTATGTCTGTGTAGCCCTGGCTGTCCTGGAACTCACTTTGTAGACCAGGCGGGCCTGGAGCTACGAGGGATCTGCCTGCCTCTGCCTCCTGAGTGCTGAGTGTGTGCTCATGCACCCACTAGAGCATCTTTTAGAGAAGTATAAAAAGTAAGGATCTGTGAAAACTTAGCTTTTATCTAAAATTCTAATACAAAAACATTTAAGCCCCTCCCCAGTGGTTCAGGAAAGGGACTATTAGATAACCTAGGCACGATCTGAGAGGATGGCGCTAGCTAGAGTCGTGACAGGAGAAGAGCGTTCGGACAGAGGGATTGTGCAGAAGTCTGGCCTTGAGTATTTTGTGCCATGACAAGTGTGAACTTTTCTTTTCTCTTGCGTGGAGTGATGGGAAGTTCACAGTATAAAGCCGTCTGGTGCTTCTAAGATACAGTATAGTTGGGACCGTGGCATGTGGCAAGTATGTATCTGTAGTCCCAGCTCTTTGGAGGAAGATTGCTTAAGTTCTGGAGCTTGAGACCAGCCTGGGCGACATAGTGAGCCTGTTCTCTGAAAGGGAAAAAAATACTGTAAAAATTTCAGAGGAAGGAAGTAATTCTAACTCCCTTGTATAAATAACCAGTGCTTGGGTCAGCATAAACTCAGTGCTGCTTAGCGTGTTGCTGTCTCTTGCTGGTGAATAGAGAACTCGGGAGTCTTTCCTGGTCCATGCTCCCCAGTACAGTTAGAGGATGTTGCAGTGGCTATAAGGTTCAGCTGGGAGTGCAGATGGCAGAGCTGTTAGTTTCCACGGTTGGGAGTGGCATTTTCTGTTACCTCTCTTTCTCTCGTATCTATCTCTTTATGAGTTCAGTTAAAGAGCTCGACTCATATTCTGTCCTATCCCAAATAGGAAATTGTTAGTCAATGGGCATTTCCTTAAATTTTTTTTTCAGTGTATTTTACAAATTAAATTTTTGGTGAAGTGTTTTAAAGACAATGAAGCACACATAAATATATGCATTTTAAGAATAAGACTGGGAGTATGAGGCAGTATGATCATGAGTTCAAGGCCAACTTGAGATACATATCATGACCGTGTCTCAAAAAAACGGCACAGAAACCCCAATCATCCAGATACTAGTAAAAGCCAAGAAAATTGCCCCCAGTACATTACTGTCCTTCAGGTTCGACGGAGTAATTGCTGGCGTTTTGTTTGTTTGTTTGCCCAGGGTGGTCTAGAATGTGATGTGTATGTGCCGATGCCTCTGACCTTATCCCCACCGATATGCACTGGGATTATATATCACTATGTTGAGCGAAGATTGCAAGTGTTTTAGAAGTAGAACTGTGCCCCTCTCCTGTATCCCATCTTTGTTTTCAGAAGTGTCATCCTTATATACGTTGTCATTTCTATACCTTTCTTTATAGTTCAGCATCTATGATAATGCTCCCGAGCAGGGAATTGTTTATTTTGTAAAGCATGACTCAGTTCCAGGCTGAGTTAGTATCATCACAGGGCAGCCTGAGGTCATCGGGTCATCAGGAAGTGCTTCAGCATGGGCTTGTTGGTTCTGCAGATATACGGTTGGATAAAGGGTTCTGTTCTGTTGTTTGTGTGGGTAGGATTGTGGTGGCTTCCCCCACTGTGAGGTTGATCACTCATCTCAGGCATCAGGGCAAGGTCGAGTGAGTACATATGCATTAAGGCAAGGCCAATGTGGTAGCAATCTGGACCAGGCTCTCCATGGCGTTGTGTCCTCAGGAAGAATGCCACTGTTTATACGTCCTGTCAGAGGAGACACTTCACATGTGGCCCCTTTACATTTTCTATAGGTAGCCTTTTCAGTCATTGACAACAGGATCTGTGGGGAGGTGGAATGTCATGGTGGAAAGAAAGGTTTGAGAGCAGAATTGTTTGTCTCTTGGTGACCAGGACACAGAGGAGTTTCAGACAGGAGAGGGGATCAAGAGGTATTTACTATTCAAGGGTGTGTGCCTCCAGTGACCCTCTTCCTCTACTTCCCAAGTCACACCTTTCCGCTGTAGTCTGTTCAAAGTTTGAATCTACCTGAGGGTCAAGCCATTTTCTGTGCCAGAGCCCTCATGATCAAACTGTTTCTGGAAACACTCCTACAGATACAGCTAGGGAGGAGACTTATTAATAGTCTTTTACATGTCCCTCAGTCCAGTCAAGTTGACAATCAAGATTGATGTAGTCCCGACCTGTTGGTTTTTAAGTGCCGGTGCAGCAGACATCCTGGAGATATCTTAGCCTTCTAAAAACTTGCTCTTGTCTTCCTCTTGTGTTGGGTTGGCTCTGGCTTGTACCTTAAACTCTTTGTTAAGTTTATATATTTGCTTTTTTAATGGCTCAAGGCTGTGAGTTTGATCCCAGAACTATTATAAAACAAAAGCTTCTCATCTGAAACATGTTTTATACTTTGATCAACTCAGGGTGCTTCTTCCAGCTTCTGTGGATGCTCTGTTGTTCTAAACTGTTCTTTTCAAAGTGTCTGGTGCTGTCTGTGGCCTTGTCACTGCGCAGTATGCTGCTTTTCGACTCTTGACTTGCTGTTAGGCTGTGACTTTCTTGCGTCTGATACCCGTTCACACACCTTTCCTTCTTCCCAGGGTTTGTTGTTCTTGGCTCTTTTTGTTTGGTGCAGCATCTGTGTTCCTTAGTGTAAGACTTAAAACGAAATCTCTGACCTTTGTTTTAGTGAGCTTTCACAAAAAAGTAAAGTATGCATGCTTTGAATTTATCTCTTAACCTACGAGCCCTGATTATCTGTCTCTTAAGACTTTAAAAGCCTATAGCAGCCAGGTTCTCCATTTCTTTGTTTTATACATATCTATCTATCTATCTATCTATCTATCTATCTATCTATCTATCATCTATCTATCACATGAAAGACACTGTGTGGACTGAATGATATTGTGTGAATCCAATTCAGAACTAAACCCAGAATTGTTCAACAAAAAACTTGATTATTCTTTTACTTTGCTCTTGTAGGGAGGCGACACTGTCCCTGAATATCCAGCAGTGATTGTGGAGCCCGTCCCCAGTGCGAGGTTAGAGCAGGGCTATGCTGCCCAGGTGCTGGTGTATGACGACGAGACTTACATGATGCAGGATGTGGCAGAAGAACAAGAAGTTGAGACGGAGAATTCAGAAACAGGTAGACATCGCAGTCTTTGTTACCTACAGCTCTTAACTTTTAACAAGTTACCTATTTTATGTATAAAGATGTTTTGCCTGCATGTATGTCTGTACTATGTGTGCAGTGCCCACGGCAGCTAAAAGAGGGTGTTGGATCCCCTGAACTGAGTTAAAGATGGTTGTGAACCACCATGTGGGTGCTGGGAACCCAACCTAGGTCCTCTGGAAGAGCAGCCAGCGTTCTTAACTGCTGAGCCATCTCTCCAACCCCATAAGTTGTTTTGTAAGCTTCAGTATTACTATTTATTGTTGGGGAATCTTTTACTGAAGAACCTATTTTAAAATGCCATTTAGCATAGAATGGATATTGGTGTAAAAATATTTGTTTAAAGAGAGTTTATATAAGTGTAATAGAGTCCTATGTTATATATACAACAGCCTTAAAAGTTGCTTTATTTTTTTGTAACTATAGATATTCGCTAGTTATTATTTACTTATAAAAATCAGTAGGTTAGTATACAAGAGTGCTATTTTCTAATTAAAAACATGAGGATAGTATTCTCTCTCTAACTGGTTTAGCCCTTCTTTGAATCAGCATTGCTGGAGCAGTACTGTTTTTTCAAGCATCTCTGCCTGTCGGATTCCTCTTTTTCTCTCTTCTTAGACATCCTGGTGTTTCTATTAGTGTGTATTTTGTCATCTATGTGTGCATTTGGGGATTAGTTCATGTAATTCTTAGGGAAATCTTTTTGGTTTTGCTATGACCATGAAGAAAAATTTCCCTAAATCATTTTAGTGACTTACATAGTAGTAACCAAAAAATCATAGTCTGGTAATGTTTTGGAAAAATTCTTATACGTTTGCAATCTAAGAAATTCTTTCTTTCTTACTCTCCCCTTCTTTCTTTCTTTCTTTCTTTCTTTCTTTCTTTCTTTCTTTCTTTCTTTCTTTCTCTTTCTTTCTCTCATGTGTGTAGTTCAGAAGACAGCTTGTGGGAATCTCTTCTTTCCTTCTATTATGTGAGTCTCATGGAAGGAACTCAGTTGTTCATTAGTGCTTTTACACATTGAGACTTCTAATGGGCTGGAAAATTCTTAAATATTTAGATGTATTTCTACAAATGTAGCAAACTCTCCCAGTTCCTTTTGAGTGTTGTCTGCCATCTTTTAGTTCCAAGGAGCCCAGTGGAGTAGTGCCCTCTTACATACTGCTAGCTGTTAGTCTCAAGTTGTTCTCCAGTTTCATTCTTTTATTGAGCTTAGCGATTAGGAACTCTTGTTCTTCCAGGCAAGGCTGATGTGCCAGCAAAACTCCGGGGAAGCGCAGACTGGTTCATCTGATGACAGGAAGCCGTGCACTTCCCAAAGACTTGATGATGTGTGTGGAGTGATGCTTTGCTTGCTCTAGAGGATGACACTTTTTTTTGAGCGTTTTCCTGGCTGAAGGGAGAAGTGTTGGTCTAAGGATGTCTTTTCTTCTTTAAAAAAATTAAGTCATTATTACTACGTGTATTAATTTTATGTGTAGGCTGTTTCACCTGCAGAAGCTAGAAGTGGGCATTGGATGCCCTGGAACTGATGGATGCCCACATTACAGATGGTTGTGAGCTGGTATGTGAGTGTTGGGACTTGAACGTGGGTCTTCTGGAGGAACAGGAAGCACTAGTCATCTCTCTAGACCCGAGTTTTCCTCAAATGATTGATTTTTGTATCAAGTTGAAAACTTTAAAAAAATGAAAACAACCGTATAGGATTTGCACAAGTAGCTACATCAGGGTGCTCAGTGTATACAATGCCAGAGCAGGTTGACAAATGTTACTGTGTACTTGATAATAAGTTCTTCACTAATTTCAGTTCATTCCGTTAAAGTAATTTTGAATTAGAAATGAATGTAACCTAGTTAAGGGGTCCTGAGGGTGATGTCCATTCATAGGACAGAGATGTTAATGCTTGTGATGGGAAGAGGAGGCTTGGAGCTGGGCCGGGCGTGGTGCGGGCGTGGTGCGGGCGTGGTGCGCAGCTGTAACCCCACTACTCCAGAGGCTGCCGCTCCAGGGGCTGCGGGTTAAAGGTCAGCCTGGGCTTAGTGTGCCACACATGGAGAAAAACCAGTTGTTCTTGCAATTACTTTTGACAAGTTGTATTTTAATACTTAATACTATCTTATTTTGAGGGTCTCCCTGGCACCCTTCGCAGGCCTTGAACTTGGTACAGGCACATTGCTTCTGTCTCTGGAGAGCTGGGATGATCTGTATGTTCCACTGTATCCTGCATGCTCTCAGTACTATTCCTTAGATCAGTTTTCTTGAACAGTAGAAGGAAATGCTAGTCCAGTCACTTAATATTACTCTAAAATGGTAAAGTTTCTTCAGAATGTCACTTTACATGTTCATTTGCTTTGATTTTTTTAAAAAATTTTTATATTTTTATTTATATGGATACACTGTTGCTGTCTTCAGACACACCAGAAGAGGGCATCAGATCCCATTACAGATGGTTTTGAGCCATCATGTGGTTGCTGGGAATTGAACTCAGGACCCCTGGAAAGAGCAGCCAGTGCTCTTAACCGCTGAGCCATCTCTCCAGCCCTCATTTGCTTTCTTGATCATGAGTTTTAATGACTTTACAAATATTATTAGTGGCCATAGGTTATTTTTTGTAATCTGAGCTTGAGTTTGTTTCTTCACACTTTAAGTGGATTCTACTTCTTACAGAGCATGGACAGATGGGTAAGGGTCGCCATGGCTTAGCTGAGTCTGTTTCCACTTGCTGGTGGATTAGGATGGGGGGTCATTTCTTGTAGTATTAAAAGTTTGTAACTGTAATTCTAAACATGTAGATGTTTGAAAAGAAACGGGCTGAGAAGAAATGGAAAGGAACACAAGGTCTCCATGTTTACGTGTGACTTGGGAATTAAGACTATACAATAAGAGTTGCTCAGTTGGCTCCGTGGGTACTGGGGCTTGTCAAGCCTGGCACTCTGATCCCCAGGACCTGTGGTGAGCTGTAAGGAAAGGCCTGGCTCCACACAGTTGTTCTCTGATCTCCAGATGTGCACCGTGGCATGGGAGAATATGCACACACGCATCGTGAACACATACAAGTTAAAAAATATATAGAATAGGATTTCCTTGTACAAGTTTTGGAAATATTTTCTAGACTCCTTTTAAACTATAATTCATTCATTCTGTCTCTCTTCTCCCTCTGTCTCTCTGTCTCTCTCTCTCTGTCTTTCTCTCTCTCTCTGTCTCTCTCTCTGTCTCTCTCTCTCTCTCTGTCTCTGTCTCTCTCTCTCTCTCTCTGTGTGTGTGTGTGTGTGTGTGTGTGTGTTTTGAGACAGAATCTCTTAGTGTAGCTGTCTTAGAAGACCACCTGGCCTCCAGGTCACAGAGATCCTCCTGCCTCTGCCTCCTGAGTCTTGGGATTAAAGTAGTGCACCACTACACCTGGATTATGATTCATATTTTATCAGCCTAAAATCATAGTTAATTTAACTTGTTCTTTCAGCTCTGGTGGTCACATTGAAGTTTTTCTTCTTTTATTCCTCTATACCTTATATGTCTGTGCCAGAAACACTATCCTCATTATTAAGCAGGTTGGAGTGGATAGGTTCATGCCCCTTTATTATTTTGTATGTAACAGGACTCTCCTTTTGATCGTAATTTTGGTCTCTTTTGCTTATCTTTCTTTTAGAAAGCTCCATTTTTTTCTGTGAGTTTAGTGGCGATACTAATATCCTCTTAAATATTGTAGGAGAAACTGAGACTGTAAAACTTTTCGCAGAGGTGTATTCATCTCACCACAACAAGAGATGATCACAAGCAGCTGTGAGGATGCTGAAGATTAGTAATGACACAGAGTCTTTAGGAGCAGCCGTAGGCTGTGGGGGGTGGGCTTGTCTGGGGAGGGCCTTGAAATAACTCCCAGGGCCATTCACTTCCATAGCATAGTCTGCTGACAGGTGGGCATGATGAGAGGGGGGCGCTTATTGAATTCTCTACAGAGACTTTTCATGTTTACCTGAAAATATATAGATATGAAGTAAGTTTTATTGACTGTCAAGAGTTAGAAATTAAGCAGATAAAGCAGCTGCAAGCTCTTTTACAGGCTCTTGGGGAGGAAACACTACCATGGACCTCGTATCTCTGGATAGAGGACGGATTCTGAACATAGGCCAGGATGTAGCCTTGTGGTAAAGTGTTTATCTAGCGTGCGCAAGGCCTTAGGTTCAACCTCAAGTACCACACGTAAATAACCAGATACCATATGGATAGGATGTCGGGGAAGAGGCAGGAAAGCTGGCTCCTGTGACTTGAAAGGTGACTTGAGTAATTGAAGTAGTGGCCATAGGAACAGTGGGCTCCATACGTGTCATCCCAGTCAAATGTAACCTGATCCCAGACAAGGGAGGGGCGGGAATACTCCACACAACAAGAGATGGTGACATCCCGGAGAGATGAAGGAAAGATGGTTTTAAGAAGCAAATGATCTTAATCGTCAGGTTTGATTTTGAGTTGAGGTAAAGTATCTAAGAAGAAATATGTAGGTATTTACAGATGCACCGGAGTATCCAGGATTTCATCACAAAGAAAATGGCTAACTTACGGGAAGTCTTAGTAAAAGAAAGCACAGTATGGAAGAGGGGGAGGAGGGCAGTGCTCAGCACTCTACCACAGAGCTGTTTCTGTTCTTGGCTCCAGGGCTCAGGGGAGGGCCTAGCTATACAACTAACTCAAATGTGGAGAAGGAGTCACCGTGGCCAAAGCTGGGACCTTGGTGAAGGATGCTCCTGGTTGCATGTCAGTGCCACAGTGAGGGGCCAGGTGACATCTCCTAGTCTACTCTCCCCTTTTCTAGTCCCTGCCGAGTCTCTCCACCGCATAAGCCCAGTCTGAAGCTGTGTCAGCCCCATTGATGCAGCTGCTCTCCTCGGGTGGAAAAGCTAGGGCGGATGGAAGCTGCCTAGTGTAACTGCTGCCCAGTGACCAAAGGATAGAGACAGATTTGGGAATCATCCTCA